CCTGATGCTGGGAAAGATTGAAGGTGGGAGGAGAAGGGGACGACAGTGGATGAGATGGTTGGATGGCATCACTGACTCAATGGACATGAATCTGGGCAAACTCAGGGAAATAGTGCAGGACCAGGAAGCCTAATGTACTGCAGTCCATGGGGTCGCAAAGAGTCGAACATGGCTTAGCGACTGAACAACAACAACCCTACTTTTACAATAGCTCCTGCAAAAAATAAACAAATGGGACCTAATGAAACTTAAAAGCTTTTGCACAACAAAGGAAACTATAAGCAAGGTGAAAAGACAGCCCTCAGATTGGGAGAAAATAATAGCAAACGAAGCAACAGACAAAGGATTAATCTCAAAAATATACAAGCAACTCCTCCAGCTCAACTCCAGAAAAATAAATGACCCAATCAAAAAATGGGCCAAAGAACTGAACAGACATTTCTCCAAGGAAGACATACAGATGGCTAACAAACACATGAAAAGATGCTCAACATCGCTCATTATCAGAGAAATGCAAATCAAAACCACAATGAGGTACCATTACACACCAGTCAGGATGGCTGCTATCCAAAAGTCTACAAGCAATAAATGCTGGAGAGGGTGTGGAGAAAAGGGAACCCTCTTACACTGTTGGTGGGAATGCAAATTAGTACAGCCACTATGGAAAACAGTGTGGAGATTTCTTAAAAAGCTGGAAATAGAACTGCCATATGACCCAGCAATCCCACTTCTGGGCATACACACTGAGGAAACCAGATCTGAAAGAGACACGTGCACCCCAATGTTCATCGCAGCACTGTTTATAATAGCCAGGACATGGAAGCAACCTAGATGCCCATCAGCAGATGAATGGATGAGGAAGCTGTGGTACATATACACCATGGAATATTACTCAGCCATTAAAAAGAATTCATTTGAATCAGTTCTAATGAGATGGATGAAACTGGAGCCCATTATACAGAGCGAAGTAAGCCAGAAAGATAAAGACCATTACAGTATACTAACACATATATATGGAATTTAGAAAGATGGTAACGATAACCCTATATGCAAAACAGAAAAAGAGACTCCGATGTATAGAACAGACTTGTGGACTCTGGGAGAAGGCGAGGGTGGGATGTTTCAAGAGAACAGCATCGAAACACGTATATTATCTAGGGTGAAACAGATCACCAGCCCAGGTTGGGTGCATGAGACAAGTGCTCGGGCCTGGTGCACTGGGAAGACCCAGAGGGATCGGGTGGAGAGGGAGGTGGGAGGGGGGACCGGGATGGGGAATACATGTAAATCCATGGCTAATTCATTTCAATGTATGACAAAACCCACTGCAATGATGTAAAGTAATTAGCCTCCAACTAATAAAAATAAATGAAAAAAAAAAAAGAAAGTGAAAAAAAAAATGATCATAAAAAAAAAATAAAATAAAATAAAATAGCTCCTGCAAATGGAGAAAAGAAAAATCAAACAAGCAAGGCTGTTGTGAGGGGGTTTCTAAGAGGCTAATAAACATCGGAAAGCACAACCTCGTAAAGAATCAGATGTATAACAAAAGAAGAGTGAGGTAAAAGGGATCGAGCACCTCCAGTGTAGGGAAGATTGTGAAATATAATAAAATTTTTTGAAAGTAATCTGGTAGTATCTATTAAAATGAAAAAAAGGCTTTTGACATAGTGAGTCAACTTTGGAGAATTTATTCTACAGACGGGAAAGAATTATTCAAGTGAAATATGTGTAAGAGTGCTTATTATAACATTGTTTATAACAGAAGAAAACTCAAAGCAATTTTTCATTATTAATGGAGTAATTGAGGAAATTTTGGCATGTTTATGTTGCAGTTCTTTTGGAAAAAAAAAAAATGAGTTTCTTATATCTGTTGTCCTGAAAATGACTGTGATATTAAGTGGAAAAGAACGCAAAAGCAAGCAAGCTACAGAGTAAGTTGTATTGTGTGATTGCTCTAAAAAGAAAAAAGAATAAACCTCTATTCAGTGAACAAGCAACCATGAAATAGGAATGTTTAAATGAAAACAGACAGGAGAAGGATGATATATACAAATACTTGTGAATTACCTAAGTCTAGTTTTCTGAAAGGGTCATCAGTCAGCTAAATATTTGACGGTGCATCTTTGGGTTAGATTCCCAGATGGGGGATTGTTGAATCAAAGGGTAAACACATGTGTAATTTTGCTTGCTGCTGTTATTCAGTCGCTAAGTTGTATCCGACTCTTTGCAACTCCATGAACTACAGCACGCCAGGCTTCTCTGTCCTTCACTATCTCCCGGAGTTTGCTCAAACTCATGTCCATTGAGTCAGTGATGCCATCCAACCATCTCATCCTCTGTCCCCTTCCCCTCTTGCCCTCAATCTTTCCCAGCATCAGGGTCTTTCCCAATGAGTCAGCTCTTTGCAGGTGGCCAAAAACAGGTGGCCAAAGTTTTGCTAGATGCTGCCAAACTCCTTCCAGATTTTGTGCCATTTTGCATTTTTACTGGCAATGATTTGAGAGTATAGAAGGAGTATTATTTTCGCCATGCCACATGGCATGTGGGATCTAAGTTCCCTGACCAGAGCTTGAACCTGGGCCCCCTGCATTAGAAACATGGAGTCATAACCACTGGACCATCAGGGAAGTTCCCAGAGGAGTATTTTTAATATCACTGAAGTATAATGATTGCTGCTTTTCTGGGAGTATAAGCATTCTTCTGATGTTCAGTCACCCAGTCATGTCCAACTCTTTGCGACCCCATGGACTGCAGCACGCCAGGCCTGCCTGTCCCTCACCATCGTCTGGAGTTTGCTTAAGTTCATGTCCATTGCATTGGTGATGCCATCCAGCCATCTCATCCTCTGATTCCCTCTTCTCCTTCTGCCTTCAGTCTTTCTCAGCATCAGGGTCTTTTCCAATGGAGTTTGTAGTAGGTGACCAAAGTATTGGAACTTCAGCATCCTTCTGATGAGTATTCAGGGTTGATTTCCTTTAAGATTGACTGGTTTGATCTCCTTGCTGTCCAAGGAACTCTCAAGAGTCTTCTCCAGCACCACGGTTCGAAAGCATCAATTCTTCAGCACTATGCCTTCTTTACCATCCTGCTCTCACAACTGTTCTTTTGATAGAAAATGTCAAAGTCATCACAGGCAGATTATTTTATAGGCAGGGTACTTAATTAAATGGAAACATTGGTGATTCATAGTTTGGGGAAGAATGATGGTTGACTTGCTGGCCTGATCTAGTTCTGAGGACCCTTGCTCTCTCTGCAGCTGACCTTAGCCATGCAAAGGTTTCTCCTCCCCCTCTCCTTGGTGGGGTGGGAGGTAGTAAGCCTCAGTCTCTCAGCCATCTGCACCACAGACACAGGTTAGGCATATATGCTACGTGCAAGGCAGGTTGCTCTGAGAACCTAAATAGTGAATATTAAAACATTCTTTGACTCTTGAGGGCTAGCATTAAAGTGAACAAACTCTTGCTTTACCCCTGGTTTGTGTTGTATGATGTTTTCTGTGCCTCAATTAATCAGTAGAGCAGCAGTATTCATGTCTATAGACAGTTTGTATGTTTGTAAACAGACTGTATAATTTTCCTAGCAATTTTAAAGATGAAGTATTTTGTTGACCTGAAGGATATCTCATTTCCAGTTACCTTGCATCCATGCCAAGTTTCTTCAGTCGTGTGCAACTCTTTGCAATCCTGTGGAATGTAACCCGTCAGGTTCCTCTGTCCATGGGATTCTCCAGGCAAGAATACTGGAGTGGGTTGCCATGCCCTCATGCAGGGGATCTTCCCTACCCAGGAATCAAACCCATGTCTCTTATGACTCCTGCATCGGCAGGCAGTTTCTTTTACCATAGATGCCACCTGGGAGGCCCTTCCATTTATCTTATTTCCCCTAACTTTGAGCTTCCCAAGTGGCGCTAGTAGTAAGGAAGCCGCCTGCCAATGCAGGAGATGTAAGAGACGTGGGTTCTATTCCTCTGTTGGGAAGATCCCCTGGAGGAGGGCATGGCAGCCCACTCCAGTATTCTTGCCTGGAGAATCCCATGGACAGAGGAGCCTGGCAGGCTATAGTCCATGCGATCACAAAGGGTCGGATGTGACTTAGCACAGACACCTCTAATTTTACTGATTCATTTCCTTGTTGATTTTATCACCCAGATAGGGACAAAATCCTATAGACAGAAACAGTAAGCCAGTGAGAAGACTGTTGGTCAGAGGGAATAAGCAATCTCGATTATAGCCTGGCATCTTTTGGTTCAGTCCCTGTTTTTTTGAAATATTATAAGACTTCAGGACCCAGATAAGATTTCTTGGCTCCCTCTCTGAATTGATATAAAAGTGGGAAAATTTTGATGTCTTAAACCATAGATTAGAAAGTAGATTCCTGGTTGTCAGGGATGGAAGAAGAAAGGAATGGGGAGGGACTGCTAATGGGGGGAGCGTCTTTTGGAGGTGATGAAAATATTCTGGAAATAGAATAGCATAGTCACATTTACTAAAGATACTTTTTCTTTTTTTTATTGGCTATGTTGTGTCTTAGTTGCGGTAGATGGGATGTATAGTTGTGACACATGGGAATTAGTTCCTTGTCCAGGGATCAAACGTGGGGCCTGTGCATTGGGAGCTCAGTCTTAGCCGGTATACCACCAAGGGGATTCCCCACTAAAGATACTTTAAAATGAAATCTTATTGTCTATGGGTTATGTATCAATAAAGAAGAACTGTATAAGGAAAAATATGAATCCTTACAGTGACTGTCAGAACATTTAGGACGAGAAAATGTTCATAAAATATGAATTAATTGATAGATGACAAGAATTGCGGGAAATCTTTCTCTAGACCACAAATCCAGCCATCATTTGTTGAATAATAAGACAGGAGGGAGTTTCAAGTAAATTACCTTACCTCATGTGTAAGAAGTTGTGCCCCAGAAGTTGTTTTGGTTAAGGATTAAATTCTTTATTTAAAAAACCTCCCTTGTAAGCATGACTTTAATTTTACTTTCAGCATCAGTATGACAACCTGTTCCACAGTGGCTGCCCTGGGAATGATGCCACTCTGCCTTTATATCTACACCTTGCCCTGGAATCTTGAACAGAAGCTCACCATTCCGTATCAGAACACAGGTCTGTACTGGGCTTGTGACATGAAATAGTAATAGTGATGGTAATAATAACAGCTGTTGTTTAGTATGTATCTGCTTTATACAGAGGATTCTACATATATCTAATTTAATTCTGCACATAACCCAGCAGTATAGATTCTATTACCAGTTCCATTTCTTGTATTTTCAGAAATAGGTGAAGTCACTTGACCAAGGTTGTGCACCTGGTAAGTGCAGAACTTGATTTCTGACTCTGGAATCTGACTGCAAAGTCCGAGTTCTTAACGCCTACAAGTGTTCAGTTTTGAAAATGAAGTCAGAAAATTCACTTATTAAAAACAAACAAACTTTCCTTATATAACTCACTAGAAAGTAGTTGACCCCTTGTGACCCACAGGTTGACTGCATCTCAGTGACTCTCATGAGACCTTGGTTCCCCCAGTTTCATCTGTCACATCGCCCGTGAGCCTCGACTGCTTCACTGATCAACACAAATGATTCTTATCAACTGTTAAAGCATATCCACACATCACAACCACACCCATATCTCCTTCATCATCTCCTTAAACTCTGTCCTTTTTTTAGAGAGCTCTGTGAACTTACTCAGCTTGGAGGAAAAACTTGGTGGGATGATATGTCTATCCTGGTTTGATCAGCGTCTTTGAAGCATCGATAGAAACTGTGGTTCTTGAACTCCAAAGTGTCAATCTGGAGTTTCAAGTTATCACTTGGAGGGCTTACAACCCATGGCCCATAATTCAAAACTGTGAACAGAGCCACATCCTGATAACAGCTGAAGCCCATTGAATTTGTAAAATTTGACTGAAATCTTAATTTAGAAATCATAATTTTATGTGCAACTTCTTCATATTACTGAGTTTAATATATTCTGTATTGACAATATATAATAAGAGGCACTTGTATACAATTTAAGCCCCAAATATTATAAGCAACTTATATGACTTTGGCTAGTATTTCAAGTGAGCAGATTTGGAACGTGGCACTGGAAAATGTCAGTGTATGGCTCCTGTTGGGCAAGTAGACCTCTGCTGTGCTGAGCCTGCCTTCGGTGTCTTCATTTACTTGTGTTCACTAAACGATGTATTGATGTGTTTCTCTACCTGCCTATGGGTTACCTGGTTACAAGTGAAACCATGAGAACTTGCTTTGGTTTCTAAAACAGATGGTGTGTTTGTTTTGCAATAGGGATTCTTTGCAAAGCAAATCACTCATTGGCTTCAAATAGAGAAATAATAGCTGTAGTTTTTGAGTGGTGACCCCATACATAGAAGCCAAAGAATTTCAAAGACACGAAAGGGTCCATCTGTTTTCTAACCTTTACTTTTTCAATTGTCTCTAAAATTCCATATGATTGTTGAAGGATTCTGAGAGAAATATGTGTTGGCATTCAGTGTTACCATTTATCCTTCAAAGACTGTCTTTCAAAGATTAAAAACATTTTTTGGAGGTGGGATGCAGAAATAAAATGTTGCTTTAATTAAAGCTTTTATCTACATGAAATAGACATAAATTGTTGAGGACTGGGAGGTAAGGGTAGAGAAAGGATACCTACTGTCTGACAGATGTTTCTTCTCTTCAGGAATCACCCTTGTGTGCCTGATCATTCCTGTGGCCTTTGGTATCTATGTGAATTATAGGTGGCCAAAACAATCCAAAATTATTCTTAAGGTAAGGAATTCCATGGGACATTTCAGACACTGAGACTTGCCAAGCAGATGTAGGCAGTGACCAGAACAGCCCAGTAGAATACAGTCCACACCCAGCAAGTTTCTTTATATGCCCTGCATTTTTGTATCCAATTGCCCGATTTCCTCCAGTCTAAGGCTTGCCTTATCACTTCCGTGGGCTGCTACATTGAGGCTTATGACATCCTGCAAAGCATGGAACTCACGTTTCAGGGGCAGAAAAGCTTAGGCCTGCGTGCGGACAGAGAGTGCCCATTCTCTCACAAGGCTTCACATGGTGCTCTCCGGTGAAGGCTGGTCAAGGCTGCATGAAATGGGGCCCAGTGTTTAGGATGTGGCTGCTTTCCTGGAAGAGCAGGGAGCAGCGCTGTCTTTCAGAAGCATTCCTGGGGGAGCCTCTAAAGATGGAGTTTGTATGTACAAGCAAGGACTTCTGACCACACAAATCGCTGTCAAAATGAAATCATCCAGAACGTGTTGAGGAATGATAGGAACTGGGACCTCTTACCTCCTCTTGACTTTCCAGCGTTGTCTTTTTTTGTTTTTTTAATTGAAGTATAGTTGATTTACAATGTTGTGTTAATTTCTAGTGTACTGAAGAATGACTCAGTTTTACATACACACACACACACACACACACATATATGCATTCATTTTTATATTCTTTTTCATTATGGGTTATTCCAGGACATTAAATATAGTTCCTCAGGGCTGTCTTTAGTTTATTGGAGAAACAAGCACATGTCCTCATTAAATGGCTTTTAAAAATTATCTGGCTTGAAAGAAGGCGTTCTCAACAATGGTGTCCATCCCCTAGGATTCCAAGTATGTATTGTTTTAGAAGATATATGCTTTTCCCCTTTTAATGTATGCTGCTGTCATGAAGATTTAAAAAATGTTTTAGTTATTTTTTGTATTTATAAAGAAAGAAACATTTGGAGCTAACTGCAATTTCAGCACATAAAATCTCAGTTCCTTTTAGTTTGAGGATTATACCTTGGTTCAGCTTAAGCTCTGGGGGTTTTGCTGTAGCTGGCAGAACATGCCACTCCATTCGCCTGCATGGATGCTGCTCCTCCAGTTTGGCGTGAGACTGAACCACTCCCACCCTTCCTCCACTGGGGTGGAGAATGAGAGAAGAGAGGCTGAGAGGCAGACAGATCAGTCGCACACAGGGAACTGGGGGAAGGATTAAATGGTATGCGTGTGGACTACACATGGTGACTTTACTGTTGTTTCAGTAGGAGGAAATTTCCAGGGTGGCAGTGGGTGGTTACAATTTTGTTTACAAAACAACAGGAAAGAGTATGATCACAGGAACCTCTTGCTTTTTATTTATTTCTGGCCGTATCGGTTCTTGGCTGTGACACATGGGTTGCTCTCCAGTTGTGGCACACAGGCTCCGCAGCTGCCCCGGGGAATGTAGGATCTTAGGTCCCTGACCAGGGGGTCAAACCTGTGTCCCCTGCATTGGAAGGCAGATTCTTAACCAATGGACCAGCAGAGAAGTCCCAGGAACCTCTTACTTTTCAAGTACTCTATTTTGAATTACTTCCTTAAAAGAGTACCTAACAAAAAAAATAATGATTTTGGCGTTTCCAAATCCTCTACTGGTTCATCAGTGTCATTGGAGAAATATTTTTTATATGTTTGTAAAGAGCAAATTCAAAACCTTTTGGCTATTCCATAGGAGTTGTGGCAGAAAATATTTAATAATGTGCATAACTATATTTTAGAGTATCTTCATTAAAATTAGGATACTTTAATCATTATTTTGCGATGTCTTCATTCTTTGTTCCTAGCCCTCTTTTCATTGTATGTCTGATTCATTTTCTTTTTTTTAATTTTAAATTTATTTATTTTTTAATTGAAGGATAATTGCTTTATAGAATCGTGTTGGTTTCTGCCAGACATCAACATAGATCCGATTCATTTTCTGAACAAGTTGCTTTTGGTAAAGTTTAAACTCTGAGATCCCGCTCTTGGTAGAATGTTCAGAGGCCTTTGTATGTTGCAGCATCTTGGGTTAGGCGGAGGCCCAGTGTTTCCCTGATTTTGACCCCAAGACACACCTAAGGTACACTGGGTTGTTTTTATTTTGTTTTGGTTCTCCACACCCTGAATCATTTAAAATCAAGTTTGATGCTGTCGCTGGGTGCGGTTTGCTGTGTACACGATGTGAGTGGGAACTTGCCAAGATCCTGATTTTTCGCCAATATTTTGGGTCTTGCTTCCTTTCTTGGAAAAAAAATTTTGTTGAATTTTTATTTCTGTTGAACAACAAAAGTATGAGAGTATTCATTTGGGAGAGGACAGAGCTATCTGTCAGTACCTCTCATATCACGTTAGCTCAGGAGGTCTAATGAAGCATTGGTAAATTTCATTTGGCGGAGAGAATCGCAGGAATCAATGCTGTAGGAAGTCTCTGGCAGTTGAGGGTGGTGGGAAAACAGTGGTGGATGGTCAGGCAGGGCAGATCTCAGACAACAGATTCCAGGGTGGGGTCCGAGATGTTGTGTGCAGAGGAACTCATCTGTGTTCAACTCTTTGTGACCCTATGGACTGTAGCCTGCCAGGCTCATCTGTCCATGGAATTCTTCAGGCAAGAATACTGGAGTGGGTTACCATTTCCTCCTCCAGGGGATCTTCCCAACCCAGGGATCGAACATCTCTCACGTCTCCTGCATTGCAGGCAGATTCTTTACTGCTAGCGCCACCAGGGAAGCCCTGTGTGTAGAGGTATTGGATGCTTATTAACAGATTTTCCCCTTATTTCGCAAATTTGTCCTACCCATGAAAAATTTCACCATCCAATTCTTCTGGCAAAATCCTCCACTTGAAAGGAAAAAGGTACCGATCATAAAATAAGACTTAGGTTTGTGTTGAGCTTCATTGAATTCTAGCTCCTCAGCTAAGTCACTTGACCACATTGGACCTCTGTAAAATGACATAGGATTTGGTGGTTCTCTAAGTCCTCTCTTTGTTCCTCTCTTCTAGGTTTCAAGGCTTTTAGAGCAGTGATGGACTTTGCAAAAAGACCATGATGTTCACGCATACCTCTTTCATTGATTTGTCTTAGATCGGGGCCATTGCTGGCGGACTCCTCTTTTTGGTCATCGCAGTGGCTGGTATGGTGCTGATGAAAGGATCTTGGAATTCAGACATCATTCTTCTGATGATCAGTTTCATCTTTCCTTTGATTGGCCATGTCATAGGCTTTCTCCTGGCACTTCTTACCCACCAATCTTGGCAGAGGTACAGTTAAATTATCCATAAACTTTTAAAGAGGACAAATTAAACATACTGCTGTTGGCAGACTTTGCTGCCTGTCTGTGTCTGGAAGCACAAAGAGTTTTGCCTTATAAAGTGGGTGGAACAGGACAACTCATCATAAAGAGAGTGGAAAGATCATAGTAATTCTTCACATAAATGAAAAAGTGAAAGTGAAAGTCGCTCGACTGTGTCTGACTCTTTGCGACCCCATGGACTATACAGTCCATGTAATTCTCCAGGCCAGAATACTGGAGTGGGTAGCCTTTCTCTTCTCCAGGGGATCATCCCAACCCAGGGATCGTTCATTAATGGTGTCAATATCCCAATCCTAATTTCACAAATTAAAACTTCCCATCAATTTGGCCTTGGTTTCAAACCACTTGTTGCAATCTGGACACACTTCTCTTCTTAGTCTAATAGTTTAAGAGGATGGGTGAGATGGTTTCACTAAATATAGAGATCATTCTAGAGGATGAACAAGGATTCAAAGATTAAGCATTGATCTATTGTTTGTGCCAAATTTTTAAAAAGTGCTAATTGTAAAGGGCAACAGGAGATAGGACAAATTCGAGAAATACAATAGAAATTTATCTTAAATATTATCATTACAATGTGGGGTATATAACACATAAATACTGTTGTTTTTGTTCATTCACTAAGTCCTGTCTGACTCTTTGCAACCTAATGGACTGCACCATGTCAGGCTTCCCTGTCCTCCACTATCTCACAGAGTTTGCTCAAACTCATGTGCCATTGAATCAGTGATGCCGTCTAACCATCTCATCCTCTGTCATCTCCTCCTCCTGCCCTCAACCTTTCTCAGCATCAGGGTCTTTTCAAATCAATCAGCTCTTCACATTGGGTGGCCGGAGTATTGGAACTTCAGCATCAGTTCAGTTCAGTTCAGCCACTCAGTCTTGTCCGACTCTTTGCGACCCCATGAACCACAGCACGCCAGGCCTCCCTGTCCGTCACCAATTCCTGGAGTTCACCCAAACCCATGTCCATTGAGTCAGTGATACCATCCAACCATCTCGCCTCTGTCATCCCCTTCTCCTCCTGCCCTCAATCTTTCCCAGCATCAGGGTCTTTTCAGATGAATCAGTTCTTCACATCAGGTGGCCAAAGTATTGGAGTTTCAGCTTCAGCATCAGTCCTTCTAATGAATATTCAGGACTGATCTCCTTTAGGATGGACTGGTTGGATCTCCTTACAGTCCAAGGGACTCTCAAGAGTCTTTAACACCACAGTTCAAAAGCATCAATTCTTTGGCACTCAGCTTTCTTTATAGTCCAACTCTCACATCCATACGTGACCACTGGAAAAACCATAGCCTTGACTAGATGGACCTTTGTTGACAAAGTAATGTCTCTGCTTTTCAATATGCTGTCTAGGTTGGTCATAACTTTCCTTCCAAGGAGTAAGCGTCTTTTAATTTCATGGCTGTAATCACCATCTACAGTGATTTTGGAGCACAAAAAAATAAAGTCTGCCACTGTTTCCACTGTTTCCCCATCTATTTGCCATGAAGTGATGGGACTGGATGCCATGATCTTAGTTTTCTGAATGTTGAGCTTTAAGCCAACTTTTTCACTCTCGTCTTTCACTTTCATCAAGAAGCTTTTTAGTTTCTTTTCACTTTCTGCCATAAGGGTGGTGTCATCTGCATATCTGAGGTTATTGATATTTCTCCTGGCAATCTTGATTCCAGCCTGTGCTTCCTCCAGCCCAGCGTTTCTCATGATGTACTCTGCATAGAAGTTAAACAAGCAGGGTGACAATATACAGCCTTGACATACTCCTTTTCCTATTTGGAACCAGTCTGATGTTCCATGTCTAGTTCTAACTGTTGCTTCTTGACCTGCATACAGGTTTCTCAAGAGGCAGGTCAGGTGGTCTGGTATTCCCATCTCTTTCAGAATTTTCCACAGATTATTGTGATCCACACAGTCAAAGGCTTTGGCATAGTCAATAAAGCAGAAATAGATGTTTTTCTGGAACTCTCTTGCTTTTTCGATGATCCCGCAGATGTTGGCAATTTGATCTCTGGTTCCTCCGCCTTTTCTAAAACCAGCTTGAACATCTGGAAGGTCATGGTTCACATATTGCTGAAGCCTGGCTTGGAGAATTTTGAGCATTACTTTACTAGCGTGTAAGATGAGTGCAATTGTGAGGTAGTTTGAGCATTCTTTGGCACTGCCTTTCTTTGGGATTGGAATGAAAACTGACCTTTTCCAGTCCTGTGGCCACTGCTGAGTTCTTCAAATTTGTTGACATATTGAGTGCAGCACTTTTCACAGCATCACCTTTCAGGATTTGAAATAGTTCAACTGGAATTCCATCACCTCCACTAGCTTTGTTCGTAGCGATGCTTCGTAAGGCCCACTTGATTTCACATTCCAGGATGTCTGGCTCTAGGTGATCACACCGTCGTGATTTTCTGGGTCATGAAGATCTTTTTTGTACAGTTTTTCTGTGTATTCTTGCCACCTCTTCTTAATATCCTCTGCTTCTGTTAGGTCCCTACCATTTCTGTCCTTTATTGAGCCCATCTTTGCATGAAATATTCCCTTGGTATCTCTAATATTCTTGAAGAGATCTCTAGTCTTTCCCATTCTATTGTTTTCCTCTATTTCTTTGCATTGATCCCTGAGGAAGGCTTTCTTATCTCTCCTTGTTATTCTTTGGAAATTAGCACAGCACAAACATTGTCAGTTTGAGAAGAAATCCACTGTGATATGTAGATCTCCTCATTTAAATTCTAAGGTTTCTTCTTTTGATCCTTGGTACAATTTTATCCAAGAAACAGAATAGACACATATATGTATTTAAGAACATAAAGTGGGAGATTTTTAATTGGCTTTACATTTTTGTCTACTTGGGAAACATTCAGGATGGTACCAAATACTTGGTGAGGCTCTGCCAAATGTACCTCATTTACTTCTTACTGCAAGTCTAAGAGGTAGATACTCTTGGTTACCCATTTTACAGATGAGCAAACCCTTTGGAGAAGTAACGTGACCAAGTTCATAGAACCAGAATGTGGCGGAGTTAAGATTTGGTCTTCCCTGGTGGCTCAGAGGTTAAAGCGTCTGCCTCCAATGTGGAAGACCCAGGTTCGATCCCTGGGTTGGGAAGATCCCCTGGAGAAGGAAATGGCAACCCACTCCAGTATTCTTGCCTGGAGAATCGCATGGACGGAGGAGCCTGGTAGGCTGAGTCAGACATGACTGAGCAACCTCACTTTCACTTTTTTTACAATGTCAGTACAGCCCTATCTGCAGGGGGCTGGTTCCAGGATCCCCTGAAGATAGCAGACTCCAAGGATGTTCAACTTCCTTATATAAAATGACGTAGTATTTGTGTTTAGTGTATGCACATCTTCCATAGGTCTTCCCAGGTGGCTCAATGATAAGGAATCCGCCTGCAGTACAGGACATGCGGGTCCAATTCCTGGCTCGGAAATATCCCCTGGAGGAGGGCATGGCAACCCCTCCAGTGTTTTGGCCTGGGAAATCCCGTGGACAGAGGAGCCTGGCGGGTTATAGTCCATGAGACTGCAAAAGACTTGGACACAACTTAGTGACTGAGCATGCATGCACACCTTCCATATACTTAAATTGTCTCTAGATTACTTATCGTACCTAATACAATGTAAATGATATATAAATAGTTGCCTGCAAGGCAAGTTCAAGTTTTGCTTTAGAAACCTTGCAGAATTTTTCTTTTCCAAAATATTTTTGATCTGACATGTGTTGAATCCATGGGCTGACTGTCCTGAGGAACACAGACTGTTGAGGATTTGAAATATAATTGAGTCGGGAGAGAAGGATTCCTATGGCAGAGTGTAGTCAACAGTCTTGTTTTTTTTCCACACTTGATGGCTTGAGAAATATCAGGACTGAGATACTGCATTTGCTTTGTGAATGGTCCAGGTGTGAGGTACAGCTGTGTAGCTTAATCATGTTAAGTTATGGACAAGGTCTCTGAAAGAAGTGAGAGTAATCTGCAGAAAGCAAAACAAGGAACAGGATAATTAGAAATAAAATCAGAGCCACCGAATTTGCCCTGTACTAGTGATAATATGTTTACTCCCACTTTACACACCCTTGTTACCTTCACATCTCAGTCCAGGTTGCTTGCTAAGTTGCTTCCATCATGTTCGATTCTTTGCAACCCAATGGACCACTGCCCACCAGGCTCCTCTGTCCATGGGATTCTCCAGACAAGAATACTGGAGTGGGTTGCCATGCCCTTCTTCAGGGGATCTTCCCAACCCAGGGATTGAACCCTTGTCTCTAAGTCTCCTGAATTGGTAGGCAGGTTCTTTACTAGCGCCACCTGGGAAGCCAGTTTGTGTAGAGGAGCTGCCTTATCAAATGCCTCTATCCTCTCTCCTGCCATTTGTGAAAACCTCGAGACGCCCTCTGGAAATTGGAAAAGATGAAACTGCCTAACCCAGCCTCCAAGGTCCTGCCTAGGTTTTCCTTTTTCTCCCTCCTGCTCTTTCTTCCTTCTTCCCTTCCTCTCTTCCTTTGAAAACAAATAAAACAGAGAAAAGTAGACAAAACATATTACTAAACCCTTTCACCAAAGACTTCATTGCAGACATTTTGTTTTCACATAGGATTTTTATGTTTCTTTTTTTAAAAAATAATTTTATTTATTTGGGTCTTCGTTGCCGTGAGGGCTACCCTGTAGTTGCAGTGCACAGGCTTCTCAGTGCAGTGGCTTCTCCTGTTGTGGAGCACGGACTCTAGGGCGTGTGGGATTCAGCAGTTGTGACTCTAGAGCCCAGCTCAGTAGTCGTGACTCACAGGCTTGGTTGTCCTGCAGCATGTGGGATCTTCCTGACCCGGGGATCGAACCCACGTCTCCTGCACTGGCAGGCAGATTCTTCATCACTGAGCCACTAGGGAAGCCCTGTTTATTTTCAAGTGTCATTTAGTTCGTTATTTAGTTGCTAAGTCGTGTCCAACTTTTTGCAACCCCATAGGCTGTAGCCCACCAGGCTCCTCTGTCCACAGGACAAGGCTAGAATTCTCCCAGCAAGAATACTGGAGTGGGTTGCCATTTCCTTCTCCAAGGGCTCTCCCCTTCCCAGGGATGGAAGCTGAGTCTCCTGCACTGGCAGGCAGATTCTTTAGTTTACACTGTTTTGTCTCTGACTCAATTTTCCATTCTCACCTCCTCGAGTCCTTCACTTCCCACAGGCTGGCTTAGAGCATAAGCAATGCTTACTGACCAGGCCACAGTCATACCTGCCCCCAGACAAGCATTTTCCCACATTAAATGCCTCTTTCACTCTTTCCATCCTTTAATCCCACCCTTCCTCTGTGAAGCCTTCTCTAAACGTGGCATAAATGCCACTTTCCTGAATTTCTCCCCCACGTCCCTGACCCGTGATCATACTTGGTCGTGTGCTGTTCCTGTGTATCTTGTCTTTTCACCTAGATTCCCAGGGGAAGGTTGGTAGAGCCCTATTCAAGAGGCGCTTCTTAAGAGAGCGCTACAGATAGGTCCTCAGCAAATAATCGTTGAAGCAGTTTTAGTAGTCTCAGGTCATGGCTTGCACTTAATACTAAACATAAGAGAAGATTTTTGTATAGTCCTTATTGCTGGTGCATAACATTTTTGTCTTGGTAGGTGCAGGACAATTTCCTTAGAAACCGGGACTCAGAATGTTCAGATGTGCTTCACCATGCTGCAGTTATCCTTCACTGCTGAGCAACTGGTCCAGATTCTTAACTTCACATTGGCCTATGGACTTTTCCAGGTGCTGGATGGGTTTCTCATGGTGGCTGGTACGTAAAGCCCCCAGTGAGTAGGCTTGACTGAAAATTGTTCACCCAGTTCACAAACTCCTTTTTCAACATGAATCTACATGGACTGCCCTTGTGATAACATTTTTAGCATGACATTTCTAGGGAACATAAAATGTATAAACAAGATCATGTGCCACAAGTGGAAGTTTCACAGAAAAATATAAAAAAAAACAACTGTGAAAGTGAGCTTATAAACCAATATGCTTTGCAGAAAACAATGCACTCTCAGAACTATCCATGAGCAATTATTTAATCTCAAAAATGACATTTGCTATGTTTTATTAAGAAATATTCCAAATGTTATTTCACAGTACTTCTGTGACTAGGAATTGTGCTGAATGGCTGTGAAATATAATGCATACACATATATTTAAAAACACATACATATATATGTCCTTGGTTCCCTGATGGCTCAGATGGTAAAGAATCTGCCTGCAATGTGGGAAACCTGGGTTTGATCTCTGGGTTGAGAAGACCCCCTGGAGGAAGGCATGGCAACCTACTCCAATATTCTTGCCTGGAGAATCCATGGACAGAGGAGCCTGGTGGGCTACAGTCCAGAGGTCACAAAGAGTTGGACATGATTGAGCAACTACGTACAGCGCAGCACATGTGTACTTACCTATCCCTATCATTATGCAGGTTCACAGAAGTTAAATTTAAAATATATAGATTGATAGATTAGTCTTAGCCATTGTGAATTTTTTTATTGTTGTCACAGAACAGATTCGACTAAGACTCAAAGATTACTGTTATAACTGATTATATACTGATTACTGATCGAACAATCAGTATAAGGAACACCAGGGTTTAATTTTCCCACAAGATATATTCTAGAAGAGTAAAACCCTAGTCTTAGATCCAAATTTTAATACCTTCTCATGGTGAGACTGTTTTCGAAGGAATATGCTTGGTTCATTCCCAGTCACAGAAGCACTAGGGGAGCACCTGATCCATAGTAAGCAATCCGCAGGAGTTGCTGACTAACTGAATGAATGACTGGATAAATGGATGAGTTGTCAGCAATCTGATGAGTGTCTCAATCACAGAAGGTTCATTCCAGACAGAAATAGCCATCCTGATACACTGAATTATTTTGTTCTAGCTTTCTCTTCTTCCTCTTTATTTCCCCATGTGTTTATACATACGTGATCCAAAGCAAACAAACCCCCAAAGTTTTGACCCATGTACAATGTTATCAAATTATATTCTTTGCCAAAGTGATTTTTAACTGGTGTGTTTTAACATTTAGCATATAAGATGTACAAGAGGAGATTGAAGAACAAACATGGAAACGAGAAACCAGGTTGTCAAGCCCGTCATAGGAAGAAATCCACTTCTCCCAAAGAGGCCATTGCTTTCTTGGAGGTGAATGAAGAAGCCACTCTGAGTCCTGGGCCCTCAGGACCCAAGGATCTCCACGGGGCTCCCACGCCAACTGATGACATCTCACGTGCCAAGTAGGGGCTTGTTGGCTTGACTACTCCTTGCCTTCCTAAGCGGCCAGTAGAGACAGCACAGAGCTGATGAGTGAATCTTGTTGGTAGGGCTTATGGGAATGTTTGAGTGTGTGATGTTAACATATTTATGTGTGGATTGTTTTGAGTTGTCATAGGATCCCCTTGGAGAATATGTTCTGCCTATTTCTGGTTCTTCCTTCGTGGGTTTACACATGTTTAGTAGTTGCTATGTGTGTTCTTGTCTTCTGTACAGTGAAGCGTGATCCCCATCATTACATGAAGTCGTCAAGCTGTGAATTTTAATCTCACAAGAGTTAGGACTCTGGGTAGAGGAGATGTCACCTCACACTGCAGGGCAAGGACAGTCTGGACCCACTTGATTTCTTGACTTTGGGCAAGTGCTTTGGGGTAGTGGGGAGAAAGCATACAACTCTTATAAAAATGGGTCTTTTCTCAAATGAAGATTGGTCTTTAAGGGCTTGAAAATCTTCTTAGATTTATAGATGTAATACAAGGGATTACATTACATTCCCTAGAGGGAATCTAATGAACCCTTGAAGGTAATATTTTTACTCCCTAGAAACAGGCGCATTTATTCTTCTCATATGTAGATTTGTTATATAATTTAAAAAGTGCATTCCATGTATACTGTTTCATAAATCACTAAATGATTAATCACTGACTCAATGGACACGAGTTTGAGCAAACTCCAGGAGATGGTGACGGACAGGGGAGCCTGGGGTGCTGCAGTCCATGGGATTGCAAAGAGTTGGACTTGACTTAGCGACTGAACAACAAAAACCAACAACATATTACAGAGCATCTTTACATGTCAGTCTGTGTTGACCTACCTCATTCTTCAGAACAGTGGCTTCATAGAAGTATTCCAGTGTATGGAAGGACTGTAATTCATTTCACCATTTCTTATTCAAGGACATTTAGAGAGCTTCCAACTTCTTGGTATTACAGTGCTGTTACAAACACCTGTGCCTCCATGCCAGTGTTTCTGTAGGATCATTCTCTAGACTTGAATTGCCAGGCTGATTGCACATTAAAATGCTGGGCAGAGAGCTCTCTGGCAATGTTGTACAGCAGTGCCTGAGAGTGTCTGGCTTCCCACAGCCACATTCATCTTAAGAATGATCGTTCTGCTTTGTGAAAATATCTCATTTAAAATTGCATTGTTAAAATTGAGTGAAGCAGAGTATTTTTCATGAGTGCGTGTTCATGTCCTTTGCCCGCTTTTCTATTGTGTTTTTTCCTTTTTGATAAATTTTAACACACGCTGGACAGTGACTCTTTGCTCTATGTTTTGTCAATATTTTACCTCTTTCGTCTCTTAGTTTTGTATAATGTCTTTTGCTGTATGGAAGTTTCACATGTTCAACTTTATTAGTCTTTCAAAATTGTTTTTTGACCTTAATATCTATCAAATGTTAGAATATTTATATCTTTGTGTGGATCATGAATTGTAAAAGGACCCCTTTTTCGTGAATGCATGTGGACCCTTTTCAGGGAGTTCTTTTTGGGGGTCAACATATTTACTAGCTGCCGTGTTTACTGTCTGGCAGTAGATAAAACCCATCCTTCTCCTCTAACATTATTAAAATATTTCCTGTATTTTCCATTACTTTGATTGACTAAATATGTACATATTTATTCTATTTTGAATTTATTTTTTCTATGCTATGTTAAAAATCTAATTAATTGTCCTAACATCATATACTGTATCAGTCATCTTTTCTCTACTGATATGAAATGCCACTTGTATCATGTAACTTTCTATTACTGTGTTTTCTTGGGCTCTGTTTGGTTCCATTTTTAAATTATTTGTAAACTGTAAAATGTGTAAAAGCATATTGTCTGAGATTTAGTGCTTTACAATTTTATTTTGTAACTATACCCAGGGACTTATAGGTTATAAATATAATTTCAATGGTTATTATGGTATTTTCCCAATTAAGGACATCTTCATGGTAGTACAGAGACATATTAGGTATCACAAGTATATTTATATGGAAAGGAAGTACACACATGTGTGACATGATTGTTAATTCTCAACTGCTGCAGTTAATATAGTAGAATTGGATGTTCAGAGATCCTCAGTTCCAAAATGAGCATTACCATGAGTTTGAAAGGATTCACAAGAAAGGGATTAAATCATTTGTCTACATAGGCACCTAACAGAAAATGGTAAATTCCCATGTTCCATTCTCAAAGTATTAATTGCATGATCAGTGTTTACCCCCATCAGGACAGGTCTGGTGACAAGTACACCAAAAGCCATCCTTTAAGACAGAAACAACACAAATCAAGGTAAGGGTTTGAAAGTAGTCACACTGGACGATTGCCATCTTCAGAGATGGTATGTAAATGTGTTATTGAGAGGAAACAGAAATAGTCAAGTTGAGACTTCCCTGGTGGTCCAGTGGCTAAGATTGTGCTCCCAATGCAGGAGGCTGGGGGTTTGATCCCTGGTCAGGGAACTACATTCCACATGCTGCAGCTAAGAGCTTGCACGTGGCAACTGAAAGATCCTGCGTGCTACAACTAAGACCCAACACAGCCAAATAAATAAATAAGAAAAAAAAAAAAGGTTGTCCAAGAGGTCAGGCATTATCTTTAAAAAGAATGTAAACAAAAGCTCTAACTGAATAAATTGTATTCTAACTGATCTAAATAATCACCTGTTCATAAAAGCAGGGCCTCTATGAAGCTCAGAAGTGGGTGCAGAGCAATGTTAAGCAGAATGAGTCAGCTTTGCGTCTGGAAAAGACCCCGGTGGGCAGCTGGGACAGCAGAGTGTAGCGGAAAGAACACGGGCTTTACCGGGACTATTTGTTGTGATACACTTGAAGAGCTAGATGGGCTGTTGTCAGGCAGTCCTAGAATTGAATCCCAGCTGTTATTTGGACAATCTTGAGCAAGGTTCAGTCTCCTTTCTTAAAAAGGATGTTATCCTGCCCACCAGTGGGTTGGAATCACCCCTGGCACCCCCTGGGTTCTGCAGCGGGCTGCCCTGAGACCCTGACCAGTCCACCAGTGGGTTGGCACTGGCTGACCTCCTTTGGCTGTGCAGTCAACTACACTGGGACCCAGTGGTGCCCACCAGTGGGCCTGAAGCCACTGCACTAGGCAGGGCCTGGCAGGAACAGGGCCAGGACTAGCCGTGCCCAACAATGTGCCCACTGTAGTCAGCCCTGCCATTAAAAAGGGCCCATGCAGCCAACATAAGGTGAATGCCTAGAGCATATAGCTCTGGTGACCAGAGGGTGTGTACTGCTGAGGCCCATGATGTGTTTCCTACATAAGGCACTTTTCTAAGATTGGGAAACATAACCTACCTACCTAATGCAAATGAGAGAATTAAGTCAATGAAAAGACAGAGGAATAAGTTCCAAATGAGGAACAAGACCAAAATCTCAGAAAATCTAAGTGGAGATAAGCAATTTACCCAACAGAGTTTAAGGTAATGATCATAAAGATGCGAAACAAATTCAAGAGAAAAGTGGATGGGGACTTCCCTGGTGGTCCAGTGGCTAAGATGCCATACTCTGCTCCCAATGCAGGGGGCCTGGGTTCAATCCCTGGTCAGAGAACTGGATCCCACATGCTGTAACTAAAGGTTTCACATGCCTCAATGAATATCAAAGACCCCACATACTGAGACTAAGACCCGGCACAGCCAAATAAATAAATATTAAAAAAAAAAAAGGAAAAATGGATGAACATGGTGAGAAGTTTAACAGAGAGATAGAAAATATAAAGAACCAGAGTTGAAGACTACAATAAAAGAAATAAACATATACACTAGAAGGAATCAGCAGTAGATTAGATGATATGGAGGAATGGATCAGTGAACTAGAAAACAGCAGAGGAAATCACTCAAGCTGAAAAAAACAAAAATCAGCGTAAGAGAGCTCCAGGAAACATCAGGCATACTAACATTTACAGTATAGGTGTCACAGAAGGAGGAGAGAGAGAAAGGGGCAGCGAACATACTTGAAGACATAATAGCTGAGTATTTCCCTAACCTGGGAAAAGAAACAGACATTCAGGTCCAGGAATCACAGAGTCCCAAACAAGATAAACCTACTAAAGAGAATCACATTAAGACACACTGTAATTAAAATGGCAAAAATTAAAAATAAAGTGAGAATTTAAAAGAAGCAAGGGAAAAGCAACTAGTTATGTACAAGGAAGTTCCCATAAGATTATCAGCTGACTTTTTAGTGGGTTGCAGGCCAGACGGGAGTAGCATGATATATTCAAAGTGATGGAAAAAAATGTACACCAATACCCTACCCAACAAGGCTATCATTCGGGTTTGAAGGAGAGAGAAAGAATTTTACAGAGAAGCAAAAGCTAAGAGAGTTCAGCGCAACTAAATTAACTGCATAAGAAATGTTAAAGAGATGTCTCTAAGTGGAAAAGAAAAGGCCAACAGTAGAAGTATGAAAATTGTGAAAGAAGTCTCATTGGTAAAGGCAAATATACATAGAGGTAGTAGATCAAAGTTTAAGTTTGAAAAGCTTAAAAAGATCAAGTTTAGTTATAAAGCTAGTAGGAAAGGTAAAAGACAAAAGTAGTAAAATCATCTATATCTGAAATAATCGGTTAAGGATAGACAAAACAAAAAGATGTAAAATATGTCAAACACATGAAATGTGGGGAGAGGGAACAAAAATGCAGGGTTGTTACAATGCACTTGAACTTAAGAAATCAATTTAAATATATACACACAGAGAGAAAGGAGTGCAAACATAACACTAAAGATAATCATCAAATCATAAGGGAGGAGAGCAAAAGATGAAGGAACAGGACTTCCCTGGTGGGAACACCTCAGTGCTTAAGACTCCACACTTTCACTGCAGGGGGACATGGTTCAATGCCTGACTGGGGAACTAGGATTCCACATTTGCACAGCACAGTAAAAACAAACAAACAAACAAAAAATAGAGCTTCAAAACAACCAGGAAACAATGAACAAAATGCCAATAAGTA